GAGCCTGCTGGTAACGACATAGCGAACAGTGGCATCAAAATAAGATTTATTATTTAGAGCTGAGATTCGGAAGAGACAGACATAGCAGATAACAACGCGACAACATGCCAGGCTCCGGATGCGAGAAAGTAAAAAGGCAACGATACCGAAAGGCAAATGGGGAGATAGAAATTCATATTTCTCTGGTATCAAAAACAGAGAGTGAAAAGGTCAGAACGTTGTGATCTGAAACGGCCTAAGGGGGAAGCAAATGAAGTCTTTGGGCGCATAGCAGCAAAAGGCTGGAAGAGATTAGGGCCAAAACATAACAGCAAGACTAGCACCCTTTCCCAGTCCTTAGGAAAAGTGCTAAAAAAACCAACCTTTCTAAAAAAAAAAAAAAGTTGAGTATAACCCCATAATGAATGATTACTCATGAGATTATTGCTACAAACTACTTTGTACGTCACCTCAACCCAGGAGACAGCTGAAACCTATCTTCAGTGAATCAAGAAAAAGAAATCTCTCACTACATAATTTTAGCTTGTTGAAGGCACTTTAAAGGCTTTTAAAAATTGCTCCAATTACCAACTCGTCTGTAGAAGGATTTTAGTCTTACATTTAAAATTAGAAGTGACTCAAGAACTGTATTTAACTCTGGCAGGAAAATGTGTCCAGTCTCTAAGAAAGAGAGAGGGAGAGGAAAAAAAAAAAGGAAGCGACAAGAGGGACCTTGCTCCCCACTGCAGGCTCGGTGGGTTGCTTTACGTGACGTAACTGGATTTAAAACAGCGCATTATTCCCACAAAAGAACTGTTCTGACTGCGAAATTTAAATGGAATTGGAATTTATCTTCTACCCAATCTGACTCCGTGTGCCTACCTTACCTTGGTGAAAGCTACTGAAATGGCAGTTCACCGTGTGGAACAAAATGTGTCTGAGGGGCCGCCTCCGCCTGCCGCTCTCGAGAAGCTGCTCGCGGAAACCTGGCTCACAACAGAAGGGAACAATCTGGAACCAAATCCTTTTTCCCCCAAAATATTTTTCCTTTATTTTTTCATAACATTTTTTTTTGTATTTCCAACTATAAATAAAAAAAAAAAAGATTAGAAAGTTACAAAATCGTGTAGAGGGGACCAGCACGGCACAGAACGTCTCACGCACGATAACTCATTTCCCGTCTCGCTCTTCGTCCTCCGCCGCCCGCCCGCGCCTCAGCGACGCGGCGCCTCCGCACGGCCCCGGGCGCCTGTGCTGGGCTCCTGGAATCCTTGCGGTTGGAGAAGAGCTCCAGGATCGTCCAGGCCATGGCACGGGTTGGGTGCAGCAGCTCAGCGCCATGCGCTCGCGGCCCTGCGCCCCGGCTCGGCAGCATGCAAACTTTAACAAGGTATCAAAGCTCTGGAAAATCTCAGCAAGAGTTAGGCTAGAGCCAACCCCCCCTAGCAAGCGGCCCCAAGCTCCTGGAGCACGAAGCTGCCATCCTTGCCCTTGGTGCTGATGGAACCAAAGCAGGGAGACCACTCCTCCGCAAGGCAAAAAAAAAAAAAAAATCAAAAAAAAATCTGACTTTTCCTTCTGCCTTATATGACAACTTGTTAATGTGTGACTACAACAACATGATAAATATATGTTGCAAATCCATACGATGGCACCATATATCAGGAGAAATTAGCCCAAGTTTCTCTTGGTCATCAGACCGAAAAAACAAAAACTCATCACAAGAACTTCACTGTCATAGCAGAGATTGAATCTATCTACTAGGTCTTTTTCTGCAGGGTGTTTGCATGCTTATCAAGGGAAATCCTAAGGTTAGGGAGGCTTTTGCATGTAAGAGCAAATACTTATGCAAAAGATTAAGCAGCCTCTAAACTCCTTGCAGGTAAGTTATTTCAAGGAAAGAGTTTTACAGTCAAACCAAGATCCAAACATATTTAGCAGCAACCTTGATAGCGCACTTCAAATATCACTCTGTAAAAAAGCAGAAGGAACCACATATTGCACAGAAATTACTGTCTCCCTGTAGGAGCCCGTCTTCCACATGAATCAATTACAAGTAACCTATTTATCAACACAGCCAAAATCAGCCTTGCAGCACATGCAAATCCTTCTGGAGCAATGGCTTCTTTGTAACCGGCAGCTCCTAAATTCCACCCCTTGTCAAGCTGCACCAGGAGGGCTCAGGAGCTCCCTGCTGCTGCCTCCAGAGGCGATGGCATCCACACATCCATGTCTGAGCAACGAGTGGGGAACGCAGACGTTACCTTGTTCATGCGGCAGGAGCAACGCAAGCATCGCACGAACACTCGCCTGAAGCTCGGCCCAGCGCTGCCCCGGCCGCGCAGTTACAGCCAGAGCCCCGCACCACAGAAACCAGCATCTTGCTTCAAGAGCCAACATAATAAATAGCCATGGCAAGAGACGCAGGGTGGTTATGCTTTTGTTGTTTTATAAATCCAGTCCCACAACAAGCTGGTCATTCACCTGCGATAAAGAGCGCCGGAGCATCCTGTTGGCGCCCAACGCCCCTACACTGCAAGCTTGCACGTCCCAGCAGTGCCAGCCTCCTCCACAAACACCTCCCAAAACCAGGGCCGGAGAAGGGCAGGTGAGGAGCCGGGAGACCGCAGGAAGCCTTATCAGGCTGCGATTAGATGTCGTCTTGAACTCTTTCATCTGCAGCTTTTGCCTCCAAGCCTGCTCCTTCTACAAGACACAGCCGAGACCACCTCAGGGGCAGTTCATCAGCAGCAAACCAGAAAACTCTGTGGGCTCTTGCCCTATTAGTTATTTTAGATATCAACCTTGCTCAACATGACTTGAAACCTTCGTTTACTTGTGGGGAGGAGCAATATTGAGGTCAAATCATTTCAGAAACGAGCTACTCATTACGACCCTCCAAAATTGGCTTGCACCCAGGGCAGAAGGTTGGATGCTTTTGCACTACCCACAAGAGTACACACACATTGAACAATATGAACACACTGAATTTAAGTCCACAGGGATTTTCTGGAAAAGTTTTGAATGTTTCCTGAATTGGAAATAGAGCAATGGGACCACAAAAATTACTTTAAGAGAAAAAGCAATCATTGGAAAAGCCAAGTCAAACTGACGACTGCCTCAAACATATTAGAGATTTCCCTCCACAAATATCAAATGTCAAAACTGGAAATTTGATTAAAAATTTTGATTTCATTTAGGAACCACCAGCATTTAGCATTAAAGAAACCTATTTCCAAGCACAAGTATTTTTTGGAGTGAAAAGACTGCCATATTCAGCCAGATGAGTAACCCATTTAATGTTGCCTTTTTTTTTTTTTTTTTTATGCCAGCTAATACCAAACATTTCAGAGGAAAATGCAAGAAGCTATAGAGCAAACAGTGAAGGAACAGGAGAAAAAGGAGCACTCTCCCGATAGATGTAAAGTAATAGCAATAGCATTTACTCTTTCAAACTACGGAAGGGAGGCCAGAATTTAATTTACAGGGACTCTGCAAGGGATGGCGTTTGCACCTTTGGTGGAAAGTGAAGTCGGCATCACCGAGACTTGCAGGAGAGCACCGGCTGCTCCAGGTTGTCTCCCTGCGACCTCCTGCTCCGCTGCGGCCCCTCGCCTGCCCCAGCCCCAAGCTCCCGGCGCAGCCCTCGTGCTCAGCAAGTGACCTGAGCTGCAGCGCGACCGCAGCCAGAAAGCTGAAAATTAAGGGCAGATGAGCAGACTTACTTTGGCACATCCTAAGGACTGCATGCATGCCTTGGCAGCTGAACTTGTTCTTTCAGTATTTGGTATAAGTTTCCATAATGTTTCAAAGTTAAGAAATTGGGGACCTCCCAACTCTCTGGTCCTCTATCACCATCAGAACCTCAAATTTAATTGTAAGAGTCCATCCCAGCTCCACACAGGACCTTACAGAGCCTTATTTAAATGAACTTAAGAGGAATACAGATTTTTAAGAAACAAAAATTAACTCTTAGCACAAGTGAGATATTCAATGACAGACAGGATCTTGGAGCATTTCTTCTTTTCTTTTTTTCCACCCTTACTCAGCATCTGCTCAACAAGCCCCATTTCTTTCATACCCCATCACTTGTTTAATTGCCACCGAGGGTCAAAGCAGTCTTCAGCACGATCAAGGATACGAAAACGTAGTTTAAAGTTAATAGTCAGAAGACTTACAGTGCAGATGGCTATCAGGGAATTAAAATGATGAACACTGCAATGAAAGCATCAACCTCTGCGCCCCTCTTTGGCCTTGGTGCTAGGAGGAACACGGACACAAGAGATGCAAAAGCTTCGTTTGAGGAGAGGCAGTGCCGACGCGCACGTCTCGCGGCGAGCCCCGCTCGCTGGCGCTGGGACACACACCCCCTGCCCCAGCTGGCAGCCTCACCGCTCAGAACGGACGTGCTTCTAGCTTTTAGAAAAACACCGTTTTCTTCGCACAGTTTTCAAGCACAAAATGTTTATTTTTCTTCTTTCCAATCTGTACAGTTTCTTGGGGTTCGTAGTGACACTGACTCTGTCAGTATACAAGGGATGGGCCATACAACAGGCAAGAGCGACATAAACTGTATGGTTCAGCGCAAGCTGAAGGAAAACTGGTGTGAGAACATATTTTCCATGGTTGCTCATGAAGTATACAGACGAGAATCTAAAAAACCCAAACAAATTAAAGATACATGGTACAGAGAACAGAAATCTCTTACTACAGTAAGTATTTTGCCCAGGCAGAAGACTCTGCATAATTATCTATAAAATTCAATTCTAACTGAATTGATGGAGTAGTATATTCAAAGGGTACAAACCAAATAATTTAGACAGATATAATGCTCAAAGTACAATATAACTATACAATTCACAGCTTGGCAGCACACGACATCCCTGCCCTTCCGCAGACAGTACCAAATATCATTTCAGTAGCGATGCAGAGCAACGTGCCTTCAATTTGTCCGTGTGTTTTGTTACCAGCAACGGGCTCCCTAAGAAAGGAAACTTACCCTCCGCACACCAGGTCAGTGGTTACCTCGCGCCTTTGGCCGGGGCTGCAGGTGCAGACTCTGTGCACAGTAAAATGGGCAAAAAGCAACTTTCAAAGAGGAGAGAGGTGTCCGTGCCACCTACAGTGCAAACTTAAGCAAAAATAATAATAAAAAATTCAAACAAAAAGTGGTCAGACTCCAAAAGTGAAGGATTCATTGCTTATATATGAAGAATAAAAAAATAATAGCTTCACATTTTTATTCCATTTCAGTGTGAATACTGCTTCAGTGGGAGAACAGCGCTCTTAGCCGAGACGGCTGGGCTGAAGACAGGAGCCATGCAAAGTGCTGTACTTACACGGGTCTTACAGTAACCCGCAGATACATTCTCCTATAATCAGGATTTCAGTTAGCTTGCCACTTATGAAACGTGCATGGATTTGTACTTAAAGAAATATAAAAGCCCAGTCAGGGAAAGAAAATGTAATCCGAGTTTACTGCAGATCTAGAGGAAAGCAGTGTTTGCCCATCAGCTAGCTCCCTGTTACAGAAATAAGCTGCTGTCTACAACGGAGCAGCTCTACTGCGGACCATGTAACAGGACGGATCACACTGCCAAAAGCTATTACCTGCTCTTACCTACAACTCACTGGGATCTCTCGTAAATGGGCATTTTGCTACTCCTTGTACAAGCACAGTTAAATGCAGGTCATGGTCTCAAACAAACCTCGTCTCACAATTTTAAAAGCCTTCAAAATGACAATTCAATCTATGAATTAAAATAACAGGATTTACAGCGGAACAAAACTGGTGAAGAGCTTTGAGTATAAACCTTCAGTATCTTTGCAAATGAAAACTTTTAACTCACAAGCAGATTGTAAATAAAATACACCTTCCAAATATTTGTACATCTCTTTCCAGCTGGAACTGAAAAGCTAAAATTCAAGGCACTGTACTCCTGCAGGGGTTAGTACCCTTTTCCAATCATCAATTCAAGTAGGTAACGTTAAGGGCCGCACGTGTAGAGCGCCAGAGCACGCCGCAGTAACGTGTTGGTAGCAGTGCCGGGGAAGCAGAGGGGCCG